TTCAGCATAAGGGCAGTTTAGTCAATTAACTTGTATTAAAAAAGGAAATTTTCAGATTTTTAGGGATGATTAATTCCATTATTTTTAAAAATATGAATATTTAAATTATTTCAAATTTAAAAATCTGATTTTATTATATCAGAATGATAGAACGTCAATCATAAACTAGTAAATATATTTTCGATTTTATTCTTGTAGAATATATTTCCAATGCATATATTTTTGATAATTAACCTGGTTTAAGAATTCTAGATACTATTCATATACATCCAAGTAAGTTGGGTTTATGATCTTACATACTTATAAAGCTTGCATTTTCTCTTGAATGTCATGCATTTGAAACCCCCAAACCTTTTCACCTTCTTAATAAATAATCGCACATAATAAATGGTAATTCATATGAGATAATAATTTACTAAAACCTCATGCATTTGTATGGTATTATAACATGTTTGAGTTTTTGGGTTTTAGACTTTAGTAAATGGGTAATTCGTTTGATACGTTGGATTTGAAGCTATCTTATTCGAATTACCCAAAACAAGTGATAAATTAATAATATATGCTCATGCATCTTTTGTACAAGCCCCAATCAAAATACAATATATCGTGATCATACAATTAAGTGTCTTTTATTCCGTTTTTGGCTTTATAACAAAAGTGTGTTTACGTCGCGAAGAAAGAAAACTTGAAGATGAATATTTAGGTTGGATGTTTATATAAGATTTGTTTTTAAATATATAATATAGATATAAATACACAAATGTGTGTCAAATACAACCTATCACAAATTTAATGTTATAAACTACAATATAACTCAAAGTGGTTTTCCAAATATAATGTTTATACTATAATATAATATATTAGAAGAATACCATATAGTAGATGAATCTCACATGTTATGCAGAAATTTAGTTGCATAGATAATATATTATAATTATATTTCATTTAAAATATGTTAGGGTCATTTGGTTGTTACATTGTTGTATTAGACACTATAGTCTCATATATTTTGAATGACTCTTAAAAAAATGATGTCCGTAATTTGAATATAACGTAATATCTTATGATGTTTATTGAATGATATTATCTTCGATTAAGCACTTGGTAATTGGAATCAACTTTATTATAATTAAAAAATTTGGCTCCATTTTTTCTTTTTCATCAGTTCTAGAATATGATTTTTTTATATTAACTTAAAATATGTCACGATCTTAAAATAGATTGAGAATGAGATTTTTTATATTTACTTAAAATACGGTACCATTTTCTATTCAATAGTAAAACTAACAAAAGTCGTTAAATATGTATTTTATGAGGTTCAACATAAATAGATGACCACAAATGAGAATCCATATCTAATCAATTATCAATTAATTACATTAGATATTAATGTGTACATAAAAATTACATTAAAATTTTTAAACTAATAGTAAAAAAAATTCATTATTTATTATGATAAAAAATCTGTAAATCAAAAAATATACATGCTATTTAATAGCATATAAGTTTTATATATGACTTATTCACAATACATTAAACCATATATAACCATATTAAACTACATAATTATCCAACTGCGCAACATGCAGGCATTCGCCTACTATATATATATATATATATATATATATATATATATATATATATATATATATATATATATATATATATATATATATTAGTAGCGTACCCGCACGATGCGGCGGCGCGAGAGAGTTTGTTTCGGCAGATAGTTTTAATGTGGCAATTAGTTTCCTTTTCATATCATATAGTTCGTTTCAATTTTTTGGTAGATTGTTTTGTGTTGGATAGTTCATTTCGGCAAATTGTTTATAGTTATGTATATAGATGCCGGGCATAATAACTTCCTATTTGTTGTCATTCATTACTCTTGATTTTATTTTACAATTAGATTAAATGTAAAAATATGTGTAAGACTATATATATTATAACATAATCACAAATTATATAAGTTTTTTATAGTATGGTTTACATCCACTAATATATTAAAAATAATAAATTAAGTATAATATATTAAAAGTTAAAAAACATAACTTTATAAGCAGAAGTAAATATATTATTTTAATATTGAAATTTAGTTTATATATGATTACACTTTAGGTGTGATATTCATTTAACCTTCTTAACCAACTTATAATTATTATTAGAAAGAAATTGAAAAGTCATGGGAATTTCAAATGAATATGGTGAAAGGAAAAATGCAAGACGGTTTCAAATGAAAGTGATTGAGAATGAGATTTTTTATATTTACTTAAAATACAATATCATTTTCTATTCAATAGTAAAACTAACAAAAGTCGTTAAATATGTATTTTATAAGGTTCAACATAAATAGACGACCACAAATGAAAATCCATATCTAATTAATTATCAATTAATTACATTAGATACTAATGTGTACATAAAAATTACATTTAAAATTTTAAACTAATAGTAAAAAAAATTCATTATTTCTTATGATAAAAAATCTGTAAATCAAAAAATATACATGCTATTTAATCGCATACAAGTTTTATGTATGGCTTATTCACAATACATTAAACCATATATAACCATATTAAACTACATAATTATCCCACTGCGCCACGCGCGAGCATTCGCCTAGTTTATTCTTAATACACATCCGAAATATAGTACAAATTCATACATATTCTTACATATTAACATCATTATACATTTTAATATAGTTATACATATTCTAACTGAATATCCACTTGATCTTCACATATGTACTTGTTATTGAACTCGATTCCAAATATTTCTCTTGTATGATCAATATTGAATTCCTTCTCCATGCAATTTTGAAAAGAATAAGATACATTACTCGTTAGTATTACCCATAAAACAAATATACTTGTTGTTAACAAACATTCTCAAGGACATTCTAACAGAATGCATTTATATAAATAAATTCTGACAGAATACATTACATAATGCACTTAAATAACATTATTTTGCCAATTTTTTTACGAATAATAGGTATCAAATCGATGAGTGTTACTACCCTCATTCTAAAAGAATATTGTGTTTTCTCATTTTGAAAAAATTTACAGGATTGAATAGACCAAAATAACATAACTACACATATAAAGTTCAATTCTAAAAGAATATTTCATTCCCGTTTGTTGCTTAGACTTCAATTCCTTAAAAAATCTTACAAGATATTATCTACGTTACTTCTGACAAAATATTTCAACACAAGTATAAAATGCTATTGTAATTCTAACAAAATAGTATTTAGTTTAGCTTAACATATTCTAACAGAATCTTCCCAATAAATCCAGCATATCAAACTTGCCTCAGTTACACAAAAACCTTCTATTTTTGACAGTATATCAAACACTTAGATGACATGTTTTATTATCAACATTGAAAAAATGCAACAGTATAAGCAACATTCAAAAACATTGATAACATAAAAAATTGATTCTTGATTCTCGTTCACTTCAAAAATCACAACTAGTAAATAGAAAAATTGAGTGTAATTGATGCTAAAAAAATAAAAGAATAGAGCTTAATCGGCGAATGTTACTAACCTTAATCACGAATACAAAACCCTTGGATGATTTCAACAACATTAAAAGAAATCGATGGATTTTAAAGACTTGATATCTCTTCTCTCTTGCCATGTATACCTGCTCGTATTTGGTTATAGATACGTACTGAACACAATTAGATGTGCATTCAAATCAGATTTCAAAAAGGAATTGTTTTAATTGAAGAAGGAGATGGAAGATGTTCGATTGTAAAATCAAAAATTAGGTTTAAAATTAAAAATTGAGTTCAAGAACATACCAAGGCTATAATGTTGGTGTATGGCAGTAGCTATAGACCGATTTCAGTGATGGAATACGAAGCCAACGATGGAGAGAGAAGAAGAAGAAGATACGACACTGACAAGATGAGAGATATAGAAGTATGTATGTGAATGGTCGATGGTTATAAAGAAGAGATATTAGGTCAACATATATTTATTTTGTTTCTTTAATTGCAATTGTAAAAAACCAGAAATGCCCTTTTTGATTTAATTAAATATTTAAATATTTATTAATTTATAATTGGTGCATTTACGAACACAATAATTACTAGAAACATTTTAACCTAATTTTTTTTTCTGTATGTCTGTCTGTCTGTCTGTCTCTCTCTCTCTCTCTCTCTCTATATATATATATATATATATATATATATATATATATATATATATATATATATATATATAACCATTAATAATTGTGGTTGCAAATGAAAATATCTAAAGATTGAGGGACCCCAGTGTAAAGAAGAAAAGCGACTTTTATTTTGTATTTTAGTTTGGACCCGCATTAAAGCAAAATAACTTTTTGATGCATTTTAAATTATTTTTGGTAATATTCAAAATTTTAAAATAAAACTTTCGTTATTTAATTATTTAACTACCTATTTTGAATTTGAAGTACCTGATTGATATTTTAAATATATATTTGACGTAAATATATTGTAATTATCATCAAATATTTTCATATACAATAAAATAATTCTTTTTAGATAACGTAAATATATATTCTTATGGAATACTGATAAAATAATTCATCGTTTTATTATTATTATCAATTGTAATATTTTGTTTATAACTTTACTTAAGGAAACTAACAAAAATATTAATATTTAACTACATAACTGAGAAGAGTTGAATAATAATAACGAGAAATAATGGAAATCATATTAATTAACCTTGTCATTATTAAGATTCTATAAAAAGTTAAAAAAAAAAAAATAATAATATAATCTTTACAGAAATTAGAGATGATAAAACAAAATGAATATGATAAATTGGATAATAAATCTAAGTAGGGTCAAATTAGATGATCTTCGGATAAAAGTGATATCATTGAAGAAGGAGGTATCATGAAAGCTCTATACTTTTTTAAATGTTATTAATAAATAATATGATAAAAATTATTATTAATATCTTAATATTAAGATTAAAAGTATTTTTGTTTTATATGCATGGTATCAAAGCATTTAAACATACTTTATAATCATTTTTTGTAATTTGTAATATGAATAAATAAAAATAATCTGTTACAAAAAAATACTAATAATACCAAAATCATAAATTTTCATTTTGAAAAATAAAATAAAATATCAATTTGGGAAGAGGAGGGGGACTGGTTTTCAGCGCCTTTCATTAAAACCCACTTCACTCATCTTCATCTTCTTATACTTCCGCTCCTTCATCCATCACTACTGCTTTTACAGATAAGAAGCAAATTCTTGTGGTAAATCTCTCTCTCTCTCTCTCTCTCTCTCTCATGCACACACACGCACACAGTTATCCGCAGGAACATTTCAAAGATCGAATGTAAGTAGCACCGATTGACGTCTGAATTCATGCTTGAACCATGAACTGCTCCCTTTCTCTTACTTCAAACATGAATTGTTTTTGTGCTTTGGTTATTTCTTTAATGTGATTGCTGTATGTGACTGTCGATTCCTTGATCGATTAAAAATGGATCGTTTCAATTTCTTTTTCTGCGTGTTAGTAGCAGCAATGGATTCTTTCGTGATAGATTCTACTTTCGGATTGCATGTTATCAGAATTATACACAAATTTGATCAACTCATATTCTTAAATTTACTGGATGTGTTCATAGTTACATCCGATATACTTTTTGGTGGTAGATCGATCATGCAATTCGAGGGGTTTAGTCGTAATTAGTGATTTGGGGTTACCCTTGAAGGTCTTAAGACGATGAAACATAAATGAATTGTTATGTAAACGGAATCTGAACTTATGGCCTATGAAAGTTGCTGGAAAGGGATTCTATGATTTGTTTAAATTTCTCCAACATCGCTTTTGTTTTTGATACCTTCTGCATCAATAAACCCCCGATCTGAAAACGCATAATAATTTCACTGATTTTTGTTCGTCTTCTGTAAGATCAAATATTATAACATTCAATGGATGTTTTCACCATTCAATTTCAATTCTTTTCCTGTTATCACCATCGACATGGTTGATAATCTGTCTTTCTTCTTTTTTTAACAGATACATCTGAAGATGGCATCGATTCATGCTAATCTGACATCAGTCATGTGCAAAAACTCCAACCATTCTTCCCTTTCAAAGATTTCCAAAACTGCTTTCTTGCCTGTTTTTGATGTTTCTTCTGAAACTCCCAACTTATGGAAGAAAGAATCACTCTCTTCCTCTTCCTCTTCCTCCATCATGGTGCCTCGAGCTACCTTGACCTTTGACCCTCCATCAACCAATGTGCCGAAGACTAGTCAAAGAAAGAACACAATTGACCCATCTGCCCCTGACTTTCTTCCTCTTCCATCATTCGAACAATGTTTCCCACAAAGCACAAAGGAATACAAAGAAGTTGTCCATGAAAACACCGGTAATGTCCTCAAAGTTCCATTTCGACGTGTCCACCTGGCAGGTGACGAACCACATTTTGACACGTATGACACCAGTGGCCCACAAAACATAAACCCACAAATCGGACTCCCAAAACTTCGCAAAAATTGGATTGATTCAAGGGAGAAATCAAGTCCACCAAGGTACACGCAAATGTACTACGCGAAGCAGGGGATTATAACCGAAGAAATGCTTTACTGTGCAACCCGGGAGAATCTCGACCCTGAATTCGTCCGATCAGAAGTCGCACGTGGTCGCGCGATCATTCCTTCAAACAAAAAACATCTGGAACTTGAACCGATGATTGTTGGAAGAAATTTCTTGGTCAAAGTCAACGCAAACATCGGAAACTCAGCTGTTGTTAGCTCAATTGAAGAAGAAGTTCACAAGCTTCAATGGGCGACAATGTGGGGTGCGGATACGATCATGGATCTATCCACGGGTCGCCATATCCATGAAACCCGTGAATGGATCCTCCGTAACTCATCCGTTCCGGTTGGAACCGTTCCTATTTATCAAGCACTAGAGAAAGTCAATGGAATTGCTGAGAATTTGACTTGGGAGGTTTTTAGGGAGACTTTGATTGAGCAAGCTGAACAGGGCGTTGACTATTTTACTATTCACGCGGGTGTTCTGTTAAGGTATATTCCGTTAACTGCTAAACGGATGACTGGGATTGTTTCACGAGGTGGGTCGATTCATGCGAAATGGTGTTTAGCTTATCATAAGGAGAATTTTGCTTATGAACATTGGGAGGATATTCTTGATATTTGTAATCAGTATGATATTGCTTTGTCTATTGGTGATGGGTTGAGGCCTGGATCCATTTATGATGCTAATGATACTGCTCAGTTTGCTGAGTTATTGACTCAAGGTGAGTTGACTCGAAAAGCTTGGGCGAAGGATGTACAGGTATGTTTATATATATATATATATATATATATATATATATATATATATATATATATTATATATATATATATATATATATATATATATATATTTTAATGTGTTTAACATTATACAAAGGTGCTAACAGTTTGCATCTAATTCAATCCTAAACCTCAAATTATAATCTGAAAGTTAAAAAATAACTTATTTTGAATATTACAGGTGATGAACGAAGGACCTGGACATATCCCAATGCACAAAATCCCTGAAAACATGCAAAAACAATTAGAATGGTGCAACGAAGCCCCATTCTACACACTCGGCCCATTAACCACCGACATCGCCCCAGGCTACGACCACATCACCTCCGCCATCGGCGCCGCCAACATCGGAGCCCTAGGAACCGCCCTCCTCTGTTACGTCACCCCCAAAGAACACCTCGGTCTCCCCAATCGCGACGATGTGAAAACCGGCGTTATCTCCTACAAAATCGCCGCCCACGCTGCTGACCTAGCAAAAGGCCACCCACACGCTCAAGCCTGGGACGACGCTTTAAGCAAAGCGAGGTTTGAGTTCCGGTGGTTGGATCAGTTTGCGTTGTCGTTGGACCCGATGACTGCTACGGCGTTTCACGATGAAACGATGCCGTCTGATGGTGCGAAAGTGGCCCATTTTTGTTCCATGTGTGGGCCCAAGTTTTGTTCGATGAAGATTACAGAGGATGTGAGGAAGTATGCGGAGGAACATGGGTATGGAAGCGCGGAAGAGGCTGTTCAGGAAGGGATGGATGCTATGAGCGCTGAGTTTAACGCTGCGAAGAAGACTGTCAGTGGTGAACAACATGGTGAGGCTGGTGGTGAAATTTATCTGCCTGAGTCCTACTTCAAATCCTTGAAGAAATGAAGGTTAGTCCCTTTTTTTTCATTATTATTATTTTGTAATACAAAGATATTTAAAATTAGAATGTTATAATTGAATAGATTGATAAGGGAAAGCATGGGAAGAATGGAGAATGGCCTTGGATTGGATTGGATTGGATGGATTCTGGAAGATGGGCCTAGTGTGGAATGAGGTTCAACTTCAAACGCTAGGTGAGTAGTACATAGTGTTTAGTTTGTTTCAAGAATAAATGAAAGGCCGAACAAATGTCTCCTGTGATTTGTGATTGTGGTAGTATCAGAAGTTGTTTATTTCTGGTGCGTTTTAATATTTTTATTATAAATATATAAATATTGTGTTGATTTTAATGGTATTGACATGAATTATGCACCGGGGGTGTCTGAATTTGCTTTAGGAAAAGCATTTTCAGGCTGAGAAAGTCCCTTAGAACCTGAACAGGATAATGCCTGCGTAGGGAGAGTGCTTTTTTGTTTTTGTTTATGTAGAGTTACGCAAGGACGAGCATCTTGCTCTCATCTCACGTGTTGCTGCCTCAGTAACCGGTTCCATATTACACTTGAGTTTACTTGACGAAGCTGGTTGTTTTTGTCAACATATCTATATATATTCCTTTTATAAAATGCCTAGGAAATAGACATCTCTTAAGAGTTAAGACTGAATTTGTTACACAAGATTCAATTGAACTGATGGTGGACAAAAAGTTGTAATTATTCGTCCCCATTGACACATGACTTAGCCCACCAAACGCACTAGAAGAATGTTTTTTTTTTTTTTTTTTTTTTTTTTTTTTTTTTTTTCATAATGCTTTAGTGCGTAAATCATGTTGGAAGGGCTTTAGGTTAGCTGAATGAGACTTTGCAATTGGATATGAGTAAGAATTGTGCGTATATCGTTTGGTATGACTAGGACAAAGCAAAACAAGATGCTAAATTACTAAATGTTGGGATTAAGGACTTTGATAAACAAACAAAACACAAGCACACAACAATTAAATATGCGAAGAAAAATAAAGAATATAAGGGTTTAACGGAGTTTACTCGATAAGGAGATCAAACTATGTATGCAGAGAAAGTTATATTAATTTGAGTCGTCACCCACACACATACACTTTATGCTTTAGGGTAACATTTGTTAAAGGGCCCTCTATGTATAGAAATAAGTTTTTTGTGGGTTGGGCTAAGGAAAAGTCACCTACACATCTACACATCTGGCCCTTGCTCGAATATTGTAGCCATACATCGTAGTCATACATTAGATAGGCATACACTAGATTGTGTATATTATGATCATACACTGTAGCCATGCATCGTAGTCATACACCAGATTGTTTATATTATCCTTCTTAATAAATGAAAGTTTTTTTTTTTACCACATGTCAATTTCTTATGAATTTTGACACTTGTTATTTTGTAGTATTTTTGAAATAAATATTATCCACTTGTCAATTTTTTATTTGTTTCAATTTTTAGAATTAAACTCATATAATTATATATGTAAAGTATTAAATATCATATATATGATATTAAATTGCAATAAATACGTTTATTCTTTTCTTATTTTAAAATTATACATTAAAAATATTTTTTGTTTATATTTTAATGTTTAGTTTTTTTTTTTAATCAACCCGTGTATTACACGGATTTCACACCTAATGATCATATAAAGTAGCCATTCAGACTCTATAGGCATACCTTAGATTGTTTATATTATGATAATACATTGCAATGCTTACACTATAAGTATAACCACTCTACATCTGCTTCTATAATTAACTTGCAACCACTCCTCTTGGTCTTGTGTTTCTCTTCTGTAGCATTGGATATTGAGGTCGGAACTGATATATGATCTGACAATTTAAATTTATATTTGTTTAACTTAATTTTTAATATTATATTCATTTTTTATAAACTTTTAAAATATTATTTGTCCAAATCTTATTTTTACAATGTTTTTCATAGTTGATAATGCTTTTTTATATCTTAGAATTATTATAATAATTAAAATATTTAACAAAATTATCTCAACAAAATTGTTGGAAATATAGCTTTCTTGACAAACAAAACGCTTTATTTTTGGTCATTTTCATGCAATGTATGCATTGATTGTTGAATATTGTCATGTTATAGATGAATAATATTTTTTATATTACTATTCATATTTCGATATTTAATAAGAACATATATGATATTTTGAGATTTAAGGACATATATAATATTTTTTATGTTTAACTAGGTCATATACAATATTTTAAAATTTTATGAAGATAAATATGATATTTAGAAATTAAGTTGAGCAAATATGATATATTTATGTTTGATAAGGATATATACGAAATTCCCTAACTTAAAATTAACAAAAAAAATTCACTTACCGATTTGGAAATCCATAACTTAAACATATTTTATATAAAGTACTTTTGTTTTCCTTTTGTAAAATTAACAAAGCTTTTAAAACAATTGTTTAGAAATCTATAATTTGAAATAGAAATTGCAACACGAATTTTAACTTGTATTACTTCTTGAAAAATAGACAATGACGAAGGGTTTATAGGTTTAGAATCTCAATTGATAAATGAGCAATGACAGATGTAGAAAAAAATATCAAGGTAGCACTGTTTTTTTTTAAGGGTCACACTTTTAAAAAAATCATCTTCTGATCATAGTTTTCATCATAAAACCCATCATGAAAAGGAGTTCACCGACATTTACACTTATTAGGACTTTGTAACAGATTTTCGATGAATTCATGATAGATTTTCGATGGATTTGTGATCTGATGGATTTGTGAAAGATTTTGACAAATTTATACTAAAATTTTCACGGTAAAATTTAAGGGGTTACACGTGCCATCTCGGGACACCAATCAAGTTCTCCCCAGGAAATGAGTATGAGATTCATTAAAATATTTGTGTAAAACCTAGTATGTTTGGACTAAGAATTGTCAATGAACTATTTCTACAAGTTTATTATCATTTTGAAATTGGAAGTCAATATGCCTACACTTAAGAGGCGAACTAAGATTGTATGGAAGTACCCTTGGTTATATATATAACACTTAAATACATGCATCTATTTCATTAATGAAAAAAGATCCTTAAATTTGACCGCTCCATCAAATCACTACTTGTCGGTTTTCTTGAACCGAAATTCCAAAAACCCATTTAGGAATTTCCACCCCCCCCCTATGTTTGTTGTCCATTCGTATCTTCCATGATTTTTTTGTGTCTTTTATCAACTTCACACTTGGAGTTTCTAATACATCATCTAGCCTCATGGATTTTTTTTTTTGTGTCTTTTATCAACTTCTTTGTCTCCTTATTTTTGCTAGAATATTCTTTCTATGTTTATTAGAACAACCTTATCATATTTTGAATCTATGCGTCTTTGGCTGGTAGATCCTTCATCATATCATGTATCACCCATGTCTAAAATTAGTGTCGGAGGTTGAAGGGCGATTAAATTTATGGGTAAGTCAAAAGACATTTGGGGAGTGAAATAGAAAGTTAAGCTTTTGAGTTAATCAAGACATTAAATGACCTAGTGTAGCTTTAGTGTAAATCATGTTATGGTTTTAACATGATCATATAGTGGTTGGGTAGTATGTTCGGTAGGAGTTGTGTGGATTAATAAATACTCGAGTTAGGTGGATGTTAGGTTTGAGTTGTGTGAATTCATAAGTGATTGAGTTAGGTTGGAGATACATTGGTGTTATGTGGATTCATTAATGAAAATGTGAGCCTGTGGACCATTTTACCCCTGCCAAGCTATTATAATAAGGTGATAGTTTGATTTCTTTAACCACACTTAAAAAAAAACAAAGCTCTCTTAAATAAAAATAATTGCTTCAACCATAAATGATAAATTATAACGACTTTCCTCACCAGCAAGTAGATAAAGTTTGGAAAACTTTTAAGTTGTGTCAAATGGCTTCTTACAAAGAGCACATTGCAAAATTTTCGGTAAATTATTTTAGCCATGTAGTAATTTTCTCGTCATTGTCTTAGGTGTTTCTATCTCTAAAACAATTAATTAAGGTAATGTTTAAGAGTAGTATACATGTGACATCCGGTTTCAGATTGCTTCGTTGTTGGGGGTTGTGGCCCAGTCATCAGTTGACACGGGGGTTAGGAGCTTTGGGCAAAGAAGGATTTAACCCATATCGGATGTAGTTGCCAGGGTCTAAGTGAACCATGTATTCAATTAGGTCTTCGGAAGCCAAGGGTATGACTGTAAATCGATATCTCGATCTTTTAATGGTTTTGGTTTTTAATCGGAAGGCTTTAAGGCTCGAGTGTATTGCTAGGAGCATAGGGCTTCTTGCCACCTTTTCATGTATATAAGGTTAATTGGAAACAAAATTAGGACGAGTGAGTTATGACACTTTGATGGTTTTGGCAAAATTAGCCCCTAATGGAAATACTTGATAGACTAGCCCCATGCATGCAAAGATGCGTGCACGTGTTCAGCTGAATACGCCCAATATATGAAAGTAAATGATCGCGAGTGGTTTTGAGTACGTCGTGCGTACAAAGGGGTATGCATGACGTACTCCCTTCAGACCAAAACCCTAATTTCTTGACTTGTGCCCTACATAAGCCACATTATATCCTTCCTTAGGTCATTTCAAGTCAGCCACCACCCCTTTTCACGTCCATGAAACCCTATATTGCCTTGGATGGAGCTTGGAGCTTAAAAGAAGACTTGTTAGTATGTGTACAAGAAGAGGAAGGTGGTGTTCAAGTGTTGATCATGGAAAGGGGCTTGTAGATCTATAAAGTTCTCTTATTTTGCAACCCATTGGAGGTAAAAAAAAACTCTGATATTGACCTTCCATTTCATAGATCCTCTTTTGGGTTGGTTTTTGGCCATTTTTAGCCTTTTGCTTGGTCTTGGTGAGCTAGGGTCGTTTTAGGGACTCAAACTTGTAGATCTGGACATTCTAAGGTCCCATCTCTCATAAAGGTGCAAGCTTTGTGAAGTGTTTGAGTCCAAGCATGATTTAAGACCATCCATTAAGCTCTTTTGAGCTCTAGAGTCCCATTAAGCCACGCATGTTAGTAAAGTTGCCAACTTTACTTGAAAAGCCACCTATAGAAGTCAGACTGGAGAGTTGGAGCAAGGGATGAAGTGATTAAGTTCTTATTTGGAGAGGGTTGGACCTCAGAGAAGCACGCTGGGTGTACCCACCCGGTATGCGGCATATACTAGCCCTAATAGGTGTACGCTTAGCGTGTCAGATGAGTATACAATGCGTACTCGGTCTGGTTGCCTCACTTTGTTTTGTTGACTTTTGGGCCTTGGACCATGGACCAAGAGTTGGTTTGGGTAGCCCATTTAGTAATTCAGGCCTTTTTGGAGATGGGGCCTTCGTGGGTTAGGTCCAAGATAGATTTGGGCCTTATTGGGCCTTGTGGGCCATTTTGGGTTTGGGTTATTATTTGGGTTGTGGGTTGTTGGACCAGCTAAGGATGTATGTTTGGATTGGAAATATGTCACACCCCCAAACCAGAATGGCGGAAACGTTCGGGGGTGGATAACTTCATGTATAGTATCATAACAACGAGTATAATAGTGAAGTAAGCAAACACAACCATCATCAATATAATTGAAAGAGTTATATCATAGAGTAAGTTTACATGCTTTAAAATCAATTACATCATGATGAAAAATAAGTTTTGAATTTAACGCCTTAGCGTCCCGTCCTTGAAAGCAGTTGATTACCTGTTTAGTGATTTCCTGAGAATACAAGTTGTTTGAAAAA